ACCCGGTTGAAAGCACCTTAAGAGGCCAGCTAAGGCCAGCACACCAACTAGAAGGAGCAGTCTCTCTACCTGTCCCAAGGTGAATGTTTGGATTTCTAATCCTAAGTTAATTTTTACTTTACGTGCTCATCATGTAGGAGTCCAGACAATACTAAAAAACTTATAACAAGGGTGACAGTTTTATGATCAGGACGTTCTCATCATTCAGACTTGTACAGGGTTTTAATATCTTTCACGTACTTTTCTGCATTTTTATTTCAGAAGTTTTTTAATTTTTTTTTTTGTTGAGACAGGGGTCTCACTTTGTTGCCTAGGCTGGTCTTGAACCCCTGGCTTCCAGCAATCCTCCCAACTCGGCCTTCCAAAACACTGGGATTACAGGCATGAGCCACCACGCCCAGCCCACAAAATTTCTTTGGAAAACTGAAAACAATTTTTTAAATGTTTAACAAACAAAACAGGCTTCCTTCCCTGTCCTTCCACACCAGAGGAAATTGATGCTGATGTTTTCTCGCAATTACACAACTCCATAGTGCTACAGAACATGTGTGTACAATGTTGTGAGTCATCCACGTGGGAGAGCATCTACGGCCTTCCCCTCCTGAGAGATGTGAATTCAGTTCTCTCACAGAGCCACCCCATCGGCTCACCTCCACCAGCTGGTCAATACCATAGAAGGCTGCTGTCATTTGGCAAACTGGGTACTCAGTGTTTTACTAGTTTGTGATCATTATTCACATACGAGAGCTGCAGTGTACCCGATTTTAGTTCCTTTCTTTTTGCCTTTTCCTGGAGTTAGTGATTTTTTTCCTTCACTCACCCTACTCCTCTTAAGAGATTCCCAATACACATAAGATAATTGATCAGGCCACATGTGGTGGCCCATACCTGTAATTCCAGCACTTTGGGAGGCCAAGGCGGGAGGACTGAGACCAGCCTCAGCAACATAGCAAAACCCTATCTCATTTAAAAAAAAAAAAAGGTAATTGATCAGTTCTGTGTTTTTCCCACTGGTGACATCTCTCTTGGAGGCCTCTGTTCTCCTTTCATCAGTAATGGCTGTCCTCTAGGCCCCTATATCACCATCGTTTTGGGGCTTCCCTTGGCTGACATCTCTAGAATTCCCTTTGCCTTTCCTTGGGGTTGGATTCCTAATTTGGGGGGCTGGACAGCTCATCTCTCTTGGTAGACTCCGTTTTTTTGCTGGGGCATATCCTCCAGTACTTAACAAGATGGTAAAATGGCAGGGTGCATGACAATGATCCCCTCAGTTTCCCTGCCCTGTTCCTGGCTGGGCTTCCTCAACACCATCGCCCTGGAGATTCCCTTTGAGTCTATGTTGGATCTCCTATGTCTTGACTCCTGTGTGTTGCTCTTCTTTGGTTTATCCTCTGGTTTCAGTGGAAGACATCCTCAAGTAGCTCTCTAAGAAAGGCTATTCAGGGCCATGCAAGGTGAATCATGCCTATAATCCCAGCACTTTGGAAAGCTGAGGAGGAAGAATCTCTTGAACCCAGGAGGTGGATGTTGCAGTGAGCCGAGATCACGCCACTGCACTCCAGCCTGGGCAACGGAGTCAGACTCCATCTCAAAAAAAAATTTTTTTTTTAATTAGCTGGGCATGGCGGCACCTGCCTGTAGTCCTAGCTACTCAGGAGGCTAAGGTAGGAGGATTGCTTGAGCCCAGGAGGTCCAGGCCGCAGTGAGCTAGGTGAAGTGCATTATTGCACTTCAGCCTTTCTCTTGCCCTCACATTCAAACTTACCACTTGGCTGTGTATGAAATGCTAGGAAGGGCCAGGCACGGTGGCTCACGCCTATAATCCCAGCACTTTGGGAGGCTGAGGTGGGTAGATCACTTGAGGTCAGGAGTTTGAGACCAACCCGGCCAACATAGTGAACCCTATCTCTGCTAAAAATACAAAAACTAGCTGGGCACAGTGCTGAGCATCTGTAACTCCAGCTACTTGGGATACTGAACCAGGAGAATCACTTGAACCCGGGACATGGAGGTTGCCATGAGCCGAGATTGTGCCACTGCACTCCAGCCTGGGAGACAGAGCAAGACTCTACCTCAAAAAAAAAAGAAATTCCAGGAAGGAAAACATTCCGAGTTTCAGAAGACTTGTGCCACTGTGTTGTGGCTTCCAAAGGCTGCTGGAACCAGAGTAATTCTGATGCTTGGTCCTTGGGAGGGGACCTGTTTTTTCGTATTCAGATGCTTATAGGAGATTCCCTCTGTTCCCAGAACTCTGCGAGTTCACAGTGATGGGCTCAGGTGTGTGTCTGCTTCCACCAATGAGGCTGTACATCTCTCAGGCCTTCTCAACCTGGAAACTCTTATACTGGGAATTCGTCTTCAAATACTTCCTTGATAGGCTGAACACGGTGGCTCACACCTGTGATCCCAGCACTTTTGGAGGCTGAGGCAGGCAGATCACTTGAGGTCAGGATTTCAAGGCCAGCTTGGCCAACATGGTGAAACCCTGTCTCTACTAAAAACACAAAAATTAGCCAGGCGTGTGTGTCTGTAATCCCAGCTACTCGGGAAGCCGAGGCAGGAGAATCACTTGAACCCAGGAGGCGGAGGTTCCAGTGAGCCAAGATTGCGCCACTGTACTCCAGCCTGGGCAATAGAGACTTCATCTCAAAAACCAACAACAACAAAAATACTTCCTTGATGATGTCCTTGCCTCTTTTTTCTCTATTCTTTTGCCAAATCCTCTTATTTGGATGTTGAAATTCCTACGCTGGCCTACTGGTTTATGTATTTTTCCCCTCTCTTATTCTCTCTCTGGTTGATTGTCTCAGCCTCATCTTCCGACCATTCAGTGGAGTTCTTCATTTCTGCTCTCATGTTTTGAATGTCTACGAGCTTGTTTCTGGCCTGCAAATGTTGCCTTTGTTATAGCATCCTCTTCCTGTGACAGCAACATCCTGTCTGACCTCAGCGAGGATATTAACTAGAGCTTTTCAAAGTTCTCTTCTCCAGTGTGGTTTCTGTTTCTTCCAAGCTTCCTGCATCTGCTGGTTTGGACTTTGACTTCCATGTGAGAAACTGAACCTCAGGGCTAGACACAGTGGCTCACGTCTGTAATCCCAACACTTTGGGAGGCCGAGGAAGATGAATCACCTGAGGTCAGGAGTTCGAGACCAGCCTGGCCAAGATGGCGAAACACGGTCTCTACTAAAAATACAAAAATTAGCCAGGCATGATGGTGCCCACCTATAATCCCCACTACTCGGGAGGCTGAGGCAGAAAAGAATTGCTTGAACCTGGGAGGCGGAGGTTGCAGTGAGCTAAGATTGCATCATTGCACTCCAGCCTGGCCAACAAGAGCAAAACTCCATCTCAGAAAAAAAAAAGAAAAGAAAAATAAACTGGACCCAAAAATTAGGGACGCTTTGGTTCCACCCTTGTGACTACAAGTGAGAAGAGAATCTCTGAGGCTGTGGTGGACGTGGTTGACCCTGAGCTCAATGTAGGTTTAGGTGGGAGGGGCTGTGTGCTGGGAATCCCGGAGTCAGTATCGTCAGTGTCTTTCTCTCTTGCTGACCAGATTCCCCAGGGAGAAGTTTTCCAGTCTTCTGCCTCGACAGTAAAGGTCAGCCAGGAGCTCCAGGGCGGTGGGAGTAGGGTAATGGGGAAGGTCTGAGCATCAGTGCCTACACAGACCCTTACCTTTCGATATGGGATACAGGCCCCATGCCCTCAACTGTGCCTATCCTTCCCCTGTCCCAAGACCCTCTACATGTCCCTTTGAACTGCCTGCCTTCTGTTGGGGTCGAAGTGGACAGCGCCCGCACAGGAGACAGGGGAGGGGACCTGGGAGTCTTCCACCCAGTCCTTCTCATTTTGGTACCCTCAGCTCCAGAGGCATCCCTTGCTACCAGCCACCATGCCTTTTGGGGGCTCTGTGGTGCAGATGGGCAGGGGTTCCCAACTTTCCTCACTGCTTAAGCCTTAAGCCAGTGACTACTCATTCATCTACTTTCCAGCTTCTAAACGGTTGATGCTAGGCTGAGCACAGTGGCTCACGCCTGTAATCCCAGCACTTTGGGAGGCCAAGACGGGCTGATCACTTAAGGTCAAGAGTTCGAGACCAGTTTGGCCAACATGTTGAAACCCCATTCCAACTAAAAAAATACAAAAAGTAGCCATGCATGGTGACACATGCTTGTAGCCCTAGCTACTTGGGAGGCTGAGGTACGAGAATCACTTGAACCCAGGAGGCAGAGGTTGCAGTGAGCTGAGATCGCACCAGCTCACTCCAGCCTAGGGGTGTGTGTGTGTGTGTGTGTGTGTGTATATATATTTTTTATATATAATATATATATTATATATATTATATATTTTTATATATATTACATATATGTTATATATTATATATATTTTTTATATATTATATATATTTTATATATTATATATATATTTTATATATATATATTTTATATATATTATATATATATATTTTAAATAAGTAAAAGGTT